ATGATGAATTAACCTTTATTATGACCCGGTTTCATTTTACTAAATGTAGAAATATACTTTTATATTTCTACATTTATATAAATCACAGCAATAAAAAACTACGAATATGAAACATTTAAGGTTGCCACAAGGTTTCAATTTTTTTTTAGCTTATGTTTCGTGCAATACGTTTTAGAAACTTATTTACATCCACACAAAATTACGCATCTAATGCGTGAAAAGAAACGTTGCCCAAACTTTCAAACACTTTCCACATACGTTGTTGCAACCTGAAATTGTTTCCTGGGGATAGAAAGAAATTTTTCAGGGTCAGAGTAGTTAGTAAATGGAATACACTAGGAAGTGATGTGGTGGAGGCTGACTCCATACACAGTTTCAAATGTAGATATGACAGAGCCCAGTAGGCTCAGGAATCTGTACACCAGTTGATTGACGGTTGAGAGGCGGGACCAAAGAGCCAGAGCTCAACCCCCGCAAACACAACTAGGTGAGTACGCATATATGCTTATAAGAGAGAATGTCCGTTTGTGTTGGTTCCAGAGGCTTGGGGCTAGGCTCACCCATCTTGAGGTTATCTTGAGATGATTTTGGGGTTAGTGTCCCCGCGGCCCGGTCCTCGACCAGGCCTCCAACCCCAGGAAGCAGCCCGTAGCAGCTGTCTAACTCCCAGGTACCTATTTACTGCTAGGTAACAGGGGCACCAGGGTGAAAGAAACATTTTGCCCATTTGTCTCCGCCTCCACCGGGGATCGAACCCGGAACCTCAGGACTACGAATCCGAAGCGCTGTCCACCCAGCTGTCAGGCGCCCATACAGGCAGAGGGAATGGTCTGAGGTACGGGATGAACAAAGGCTGGTCGCCATAATTCAAGAGAGTACAGCGTGTCAGGGTCACATTCTGACCCCCACGACGATTGTGGCTCTAGGGTCACATTCTGACCCCCACGACGATTGTGGCTCTAGGGTCACATTCTGACCCCCACGACGATTGTGGCTCTAGGGTCACATTCTGACCCCCACGACGATTGTGGCTCTAGGGTCACATTCTGACCCCCACGACGATTGTGGCTCTAGGGTCACATTCTGACCCCCACGACGATTGTGGCTCTAGGGTCACATTCTGACCCCCACGACGATTGTGGCTCTAGGGTCACATTCTGACCCCCACGACGATTGTGGCTCTAGGGTCACATTCTGACCCCCACGACGATTGTGGCTCTAGGGTCACATTCTGACCCCCACGACGATTGTGGCTCTAGGGTCACATTCTGACCCCCACGACGATTGTGGCTCTAGGGTCACATTCTGACCCCCACGACGATTGTGGCTCTACCCGTCAGCTACACAGCTAAATATTTAGAAAACAAACACTGAAAAAAGTTCTAAAAGTAATCTACACCATTACTTACTGATTTTGAGAAGATTAACAGAAATAATTTTAATGATTAACTATACCTAAATTTTTCGTTATCGTCCTCAATGGTAAACACAACATGTAAGTGGGTCTCTATAAAGGGTATTATTTCCTAAAGTATTGAACTTATAGCTACCACGACCTCCCTATGTCCGTCCACACCCCCAGACGTCTCCCCATGCAGAGTTTGTTGAGGTTGTAATTTTTTCGTGCTGCTTTCGTTTTAGCGTAAAATAGAGACGATCCTTCAACAGCGTCATCGACGGCTTCTCAAGCCAAGCCCCTAAAAGCCCATTACGGGCTCACCATAACCCGTGCTGATTGGAACTTTTGTTCCGTGAGGCTGAAGCTGAAACAACAACAGCCACGCCCCTTTTCTCTATGGGGTATCGTCTGTAATATTTGTTATTATTTCACTCTACTTAGCTTCTCTTATCGACGACCACCCACTAGTTACACAACTATTTTTGTTAACAGAGAACAAGCAGAGACAGACAGACATAGAGGAAGCAGAGACAGACAGATATAGAGAGGAACCAAAGACAGACAGACATAGAAAAAGCAGTGACAGACAGACACAGGGAAAGCAGAGACAGACAGACATAGAAAAAGCAGTGACAGACAGACACAGGGAAAGCAGAGACAGACAGACAGAGATAGAGGAAGCAAAGACAGACAGGTATAGAGAGAGCAGAGACAGACAGACAGAGACAGAGGAAGCAAAGACAGACAGACATAGAGAAAGCAGAGAGAGAGAGAGAGAGAGAAACTCCTCCCCTTGTCACACCTTCTCCCCTCTCCTTTTATGTCGAAACATTTATTAAGGAGCACTGAAAAGCCTCAATGGTAAACACAACATGTAAGTGGGTCTCTATAAATGGTAATATTTCCTAAAGTATTGAACTTACAGCTACCACGACCACCCTATGTCCGTCCTCACCCCCAGACGTCTCCCCATGCAGAGTTTGTTGAGGTTAGGCCCAAGCGTCTGTCTTCCAACCTTGGAAAGAGAGACATGCAGACATTCTCTACAATAGATAGCCCTAGTGATAGACAAACATATTACCTAGCACGCAAACGAACATTGTAAATAATAATATATGACAACTCTCAGACAATGGTCAAATCTGGCAAATAAACACAGGATTATATATAATTAAAAAACTCGACCTTAAACTCTAACAATCTTACACCATGGTGTGTACACCATAACTTTTAATAACATAATATTGTAGTTTGGAAATAAATTGTAAGATTATTGATAAATTGTTATAATAATAATAATTAATGACACAATGATAATTGTGTCTGTATTACTTATATATATTTTTACAATCTCGAGTTTCTTGCTGCTTCCCAGAGTGGCTTGCTGTTGTGTAAACATTCCGAGAGTGGCTTGCTGCTGTGTAAACATTCCTAGAGTGGCTTGCTGCTGTGTAAACATTTTCCGAGTGGCTTGCTGCTGTGTAAACATTCCCAGAGTGGCTTACTGCTGAGTAAACATTACCAGAGTAGCTTGCTGCTGTGTAAACATTCCCAGAGTGGCTTACTGCTGTGTAAACATTACCAGAGTAGCTTGCTGCTGTGTAAACATTCCCAGAGTGGCTTGCTGTTGTGTAAACATTCCCAGAGTGGCTTACTGTTGTGTAAACATTACCAGAGTAGCTTGCTGCTGTGTAAACATTCCCAGAGTGGCTTGCTGTTGTGTAAACATTACCAGAGTAGCTTGCTGCTGTGTAAACATTCCCAGAGTGGCTTGCTGTTGTGTAAACATTACTAGAGTAGCTTGCTGCTGTGTAAACATTCCCAGAGTGGCTTGCTATTGTGTAAACATTCCCAGAGTGGCTTGCTGTTGTGTAAACATTCCCAGAGTGGCTTGCTGTTGTGTAAACATTCCCAGATTGGCTTGCTGCTGTGTAAACATTCCCAGAGTGGCTTACTGCTGTGTAAACATTACCAGAGTAGCTTGCTGCTGTGTAAACATTCCCAGAGTGGCTTGCTGTTGTGTAAACATTCCCAAAGTGGCTTACTGTTGTGTAAACATTCCCAGAGTGGCTTGCTGTTGTGTAAACATTCCCAGAGTGGCTTGCTGTTGTGTAAACATTCTCAGAGTGGCTTGCTGCTGTGTAAACATTCCCAGAGTTGCTTGCTGCTGTGTAAACATTCCCAGAGTGGCTTGCTGCTGTGTAAACATTACCAGAGTAGCGTGCTGCTGTGTAAACATTACCAGAGTGGCTTACTGCTGTGTAAACATTCCCAGAGTGGCTTGCTGCTGTGTAAACATTCTCAGAGTGGCTTGCTGCTGTGTAAACATTACCAGAGTTTCTTACTGCTGTGTAAACATTCCCAGAGTGGCTTGCTGCTGTGTAAACATTCTCAGAGTGGCTTGCTGCTGTGTAAACATTCCCAGAGTGGCTTGCTGCTGCGTAAACATTCCCAGAGTGGCTTGCTGCTGTGTAAACATTCTCAGGGTGGCTTGCTGCTGTGTAAACATTCCCAGAGTGGCTTGCTGCTGTGTAAACATTCCCAGAGAGGCTTGCTGCTGTGTAAACATTCCCAGAGTGGCTTGCTGTTGTGTAAACATTCTCAGAGTGGCTTGCTGTTGTGTAAACATTCTCAGAGTGGCTTGCTGCTGTGTAAACATTCCCAGAGTGGCTTCCTGTTGTGTAAACATTCTCAGAGTGGCTTGCTGCTGTGTAAACATTCCCAGAGTGGCTTGCTGTTGTATAAACATTCTCAGAGTGGCTTGCTGTTGTATAAACATTCTCGGAGTGGCTTGCTGTTGTATAAACATTCTCAGAGTGGCTTGCTGTTGTATAAACATTCCCAGAGTGGCTTGCTGTTGTGTAAACATTCTCAGAGTGGCTTGCTGCTGTGTAAACATTCCCAGAGTGGCTTGCTGCTGTGTAAACATTTCCAGAGTGGCTTGCTGCTGTGTAAACATTCTCAGAGTGGCTTGCTGCTGTGTAAACATTCCCAGAGTGGCTTGCTGTTGTGTAAACATTCTCAGAGTGGCTTGCTGCTGTGTAAACATTCCCAGAGTGGCTTGCTGTTGTATAAACATTCCCAGAGTGGCTTGCTGCTGTGTAAACATTCCCATAGTGGCTTCCTGCTGTGTAAACATTTCCAGAGTGGCTTGCTGCTGTGTAAACATTCCCATAGTGGCTTCCTGCTGTGTAAATATTACCAGAGTAGCTTGCTGCTGTGTAAACATTCCTGAAGTGGCTTCCTGCTGTGTAAACATTCCCAGAGTGGCTTGCTGCTGTGTAAATATTACCAGAGTGGCTTGCTGCTGTGTAAACATTACCAGAGTAGCTTGCTGCTGTGTAAACATTCCTGAAGTGGCTTCCTGCTGTGTAAACATTCCCAGAGAGGCTTGCTGCTGTGTAAACATTCCCAGAGTGGCTTGCTGCTGTGTAAACATTTCCAGAGTTGCCTGCTGCTGTGTAAACATTCCCAGAGTGGCTTGCTTCTATATAAACAATGTCCTATTTTATCCCATGCTGGTGTTTAATAATATTTACAATTTCATTCCTGACATCCTTACTGTTACTCCCCGTGAGTGACCATGTTGTTGTGTCCGCAGGAGCGTCCACCATTCGCGCGTACGACCGCGAGCCGCAGTTCATCGGAGACTCGGAGGCCAAGGTGGACTTTAATCTACGTAGCAGCACCCCGGGAGTCATGGCTAACAGGTACTGATGACGCTAAGGTCAGTCTCTCGGTTTGTTTCTCGGTTCGAGCTTGGAGGCAAGACGCTTGGGGATAGCCTCACCAAACTTGGCAGGGTGGCTGGTCGTTGGTCGAGGATGGTCATCGGGGAGTCGGGTTCTACCATCCTATTCTTCCTCCTTTTGCATGAAACGGCAAATAATAGAAAATTTCCAATTTCACTAAATCCCAGACTTCATTCTCACTAAAATTCATCCAACATGATAGTTTCTACTAGATGATCACATGTTAATTTGTCTTGTTTTATTATTTATAAAAACAGATCATAGCAAAGCTCTACATGGTTTATGTGAAATCATTTTGAGGAATTAGGTGACTTGAACTAGCGTTCTGGTGGTTCCCAGACACCTGCCTTAACCCATTCGGCCACAAAACCGACCAGCCCGGAACTGTACTGTATTCACTGCGAGGTTCTGGAGGCCTCGAATTTTTACTGTTGGGCTCTTGGTTGGAGCCCAACCAAGATTTTTACAGTCGGCCCGCCAATACCCCGTCCTTCTTGTTCACACCCATACACCTCTCCTTCATACATCTTGGTGTGATGTATTAAGGAGAAAATCATTTTGAGGCACTGGGAATCACCAGATTGTCGGTTGAAGTCATTCCATTGCCTTTAATTCCGAGCATTTTGACACACACTTCACCTGAGCCCGTCCTCAAGGTAAAGCGATGAACACAGCATCCATTCTCACACCACCTGCAGAGTTGTCCAAATTTTTGTGATGGTCTGAAAGCATATTGCAGTTCCGAGCACTCGCCCAATGACCCCGAGTGATTCTGGTGTGTGATCTTGGTCATGTTCATGCTGCAAGGATGCTCTTGTGGCCTAGTACGTCTTTCGTGAGATCTTGGTTATGTTCGTGCTGCAAGGACAGTCGCCTCACACGCAAGGATGATATCGAAACCAAGATAACTTTGTTTCAATAAGTCGGCATTATCCTTTGCGTTCAGTATGAGTCTCACCATCTTTCTCCTGCGGGCAGAGAGGGAAGCCCGGAGACATTGCCATGTCTTGAAAGATCTTGTGGGTTCCAACTGGAGACATTAGTGAAGATCCCCCAGTACTGGTCTAGTGTGCTGGGGGCGCAGTCCTGTGGAACCCGCTAGTGATACCGGGATGGAAAGGCTGTAACGCGGACCTCAGACTTAACGAGCCTTTCCTGGAGACTCTGCTTTTAACCTCGATTACATGAGTGTCTAGAGAGTCGTGTGCTCTTGGGGCATCTCGGGAAGCAATTCTTTCTTGCTTGAGATAAGTCGAGTAACGTCTGAGGCGTTTATCGCCTCTGTTTTCTTGGTATTTAGTGCTATATAATATATACAATAACATCAATATTTGTTCTCACTGAATCATGGATTCCATTCTCAGGTGGCTGGCGATACGTTTGGAGTTCATTGGCAACGTCATGACATTCTTTGCGGCTCTGTTTGCGGTGATGAGTCGCGGCACCATCAGTGGTGGCGTTGTTGGACTCTCAATCAGCTACGCTATGTCAGTAAGTGCACTCAGGAATTATACTATGTTAGTACGTCCTGGGGTACACTCAGGTATTATACAACATGGTAAGTGTTACGGTAGGGGAAGGAAAACCTCGAATTCAAACCTCTGCTGTCATGTGACTAAACCCACTCATGGGAAATGCTTCCTGAATGAACCCCGAGCAAAAATCCGGAGTCGGAGTCCCTAAGACAGTCTGCAGCTGTTTACAGCTACATTCCGGCAACGCCTGCGACGATATTGGTGCCAAGAGTATCGGCGCCCGCCCTTCCCTTGGATCACATCGGTGGTGTGGGGAGGGTGGATCTCCTGCATGGACAACAGCCGGTTTTCCACAACTACTGCCCAGGACTGTGCCCTGTAGAGTACACTCCAATGTCGCCTTAGCAAAGGCTCAACACGGCAAGCGACAGTTACCGGTGACAAGCCTGAAATTTTAAAGTCATATTTCAGACGTAGTAAATAAGATCCTACCAATTACCGAGCTCTAGCTCTTGTCCTCAGCCTTAGTTCTGTCTCGTATCTTCGTTAATACCTAATAAATTTCCCTGAAATTTATACCCTCTGTATTTCAGACACAGTAAATAAGATCAAGTCAGTTACTGAGCTCCAGCTCTTGTCGTCAGCCTTAGTTCATTCACCAATCTTCGTTAATAACAGATCAATTTTCCTGAAATTTAAACCCGTCATACTTTAACTAAGTAAATAAAAACAAAATAGTGATACCATCTAGCTCATCCTCTGCCAAGTTCGCTCTTGTAAATTCTTTAGTATCAGATCAATTTCCCTGAAATTTAAGATCACTATATTTCTAGACGTAGTAAAATAAATCAAGACATTAACCGAGTTTCAGCTCATGTCCTCCACCTTAGTTCAATGTTCATCAAATTATTTCAGATCAAGCTCCTCTCCAGTCTATCAAAGTAAACATCAATGCCTTTATTACCCTTTTTGTGCTCAGCTATGTAATATTCACACGGTCATATAACACCATACCTTCAATACCTTTTGTTTACCCAAGTAAGCAATAATCACACGGTCAAAAATCTCACTTTACCCTTTCCCTCCCTTACCTTCTCATCCCCAACATATCCAAACCTTCAATAATCCTACTGTATTTATATATTTTCTCCGTATTCACTGTGTTCTTCGCATTCTTCTCCATGTTTTGTGTGTTCACTCCATGTTCTACAAATGTTCACAGCATGCTCAGTTCATATTTTCACAAGTATCTCCATTTTTTCTGTGATCTTTCTCTTAGTCTCATGATGTTCTCTACAAATTCTAGTCATATTTTCTATGTTTTCATGTTCATCGCATGTTCTCTTTACAACGTTTATACTCAATATTCATGCTGTCTTCCATATTTTTTGTGTTCTTTGTCAATATTCATGTTCCTCTACAAGTTCATGTTCCTCACAAGATCACTTCGTTTATCACCTTCACTTACATGTTTTCTACATTCTTTGTCATATTCTCTATGTTCTTCACAAGTTCATTGTTCATTCTTTGTATTCCCTATTCTCCTTATCATGTTTTCATGTTCTCTGTAAGTTCATATTCCCAGCATGTTCACTGTATTCATCAACTTTTCTTACATGTTTTCTGTGTTCTTTGCCATGTTCCCCATATGTTCTCTTTGTTCATTCCCTTACATGTTATTTAACGTTCCTTAACTAAAAAATCTTTCGCCAATCAACTAAAAACATAGTCACTTTCGTCATTTCTCAACTAAACTTATTATTCAATCAACTAAAAATAGTCAGGATTAGCTTCGTTCAACACCGTTCTTAAGTAAAATAGCCTTTTCTCATAGCTAACAAAATTGTCAAAGGAAACTTTCCAATATTGTTCATAACTAACTAACTTTATCCATCGTTAATCAACTAAAAATAATAACTTTCATCATTTCTTAACTAAACTTATTCCCCAGTCAACAGAAAATAACCATGTTCATCATGTTTCATTGTCATTTCTTAACTAAAATTATCCATCAATCAACTGAAAAAGCCATGTTCATCATGTTTTCGTCTTTTTTTGTTTTTTAACTAAAAGTATTCGTCAGTCAACTAAAAATAGTCACTTTCATCATGTTTCCTTGTCATTTCTTAATTGAAATATCACTTCTCTCAACTGAAAATAGTCATGTGTAGCCTCTTTCCAACACTGTTCTTAACTAAAGTAACCTTTCACTTCGCTAGTCAAAAACTAGTTTCATATTCATCATTGTTCCTAACTAAAATTATGTGTCGTTAAGTAAGAAATATAGTCAAAGACACTCTTCGAGACATCAAGGACATACTCAAAGACATCAAAGTTGCACTCAAAGACATCCTTTGAGACATCAAAGACATCCTTTAAGACAAAGACACCTCTCGAGACATCAAAGACACTCTTCGAGACATCAAGGACACTCAAACACACCAAAGGTACTCTTCGAGATATCAAAGTTATTCTTCGAGACATCAAAGTTGCTTTGTAAGATATCTTCGTTCATCAAACTTATTCTCAGAGACATCTAAAGTTAATCTCGATCATCAAAGTTGTTCTCTACATCATAAAAGTTATTCGCTAAGTAACCTTTCGTTCGTCAGAGGTGCTTTCTAAGACATCTTCGTCCATCAAAGTTATTCTCAGAGATATCTAAAGTTATTCTCAGAGTTATTCTAAGACATCAAAAGTTATTCTCAGAGCTACCCAAAAGTTATTCTCAGAGTCATCAAAGGTATTCTCAGAGTCATCAAAGTTATTCTCAGTCATCAAAGTTATTTCAAGAGACATTAAAAATTAATCTCAGTCATCAAACTTGTTCTCAAAGTCATCAAAGTTTATCTTAGAGTCATCAACGGTATTCTCAGAGTCACCTTCGTTCATCAGAGAAACTTTCCAAAACATCTTTGTTCATCAAAGTTATTCTCTAAGACATCAAAAGTTATTCTCAGAGTCATCAAGGTTAGTCTCTAAGTAACCTTCGTTCATCAAAGTTATTCTCTAAGTCATCAAAGTTGTTCTCTAAGTCATAAAAGTTATTCTCAGAGCTATCTAAAGTTGTTCTATAAGATATCTCGTCATCAAAGTTATTCTCAGAGTCATCAAAGGTGATCTCTAACACTCTCGTTCATCAAAGTTGTTCTCTAAGACATCAAAGTCATCAAAAGTTATTCTCTGAGCTATCAAAAAATACTACTCATGTTCTCAAAAGTCATTCTCAAAGTCATCAAAGATATTCTCAGAGTCATCAAAGTAATCTCTAACTCACCTTCGTTCAACATAGTCATTCTCTAAGTCATCAAAGTTGTTTCTCTAAGACATCTCTCAGAGACATCAAAGTTATTCTCAGAGTCATCAAAGGTATTCTCACTTTCAAGTCATCAAAGTTATTCTCAGAGCTCAAAAGTTATTCTCAAATCAAAGGTAATCTCTAACATCAAAGTTACTCCCATCAAAAGTGGTTCTCTAAGACGTTCATCAAAGTTATTCTCAGAGTCATCAAAGGTATCTCTAACTCACCTTCGTTCATCAAAAGTTGTTCTCTAAGACACCTTCGTTCATCAAAGAAACTCTCCTTCTTCCATCAAGTTATTCTTTAAGACATCAATGTTGTTCTCTAAGACATCTTCAGTCATAAAATTTCTCTCCAAAATGTAACTAGTTCAGCTTTTCATATCAAACTTGCACTTCTGTTAAAATATATTTTCTTAGACACTTTACCTTTAAAACTGTTCTCTGTACAACACTGCATAAACCTACCTAACCTATCCTCCCCACCCAATGTTACTTACCTAACATAACGTTCCTAAACCTAACCTAACATAGCCTAACCTAACTAACCTAACCTAACTTACCTAACCTAACTTAACCTAACCTAACCTAACTACCTAACTCCTAACTTAACTTAACCAAACCTAACTTACCTATCCTAACTTAACTAACCTAACCTAACCTAACCTAACTACCCTAACATAACCTAACTTAACCTAACCTAACCTAACCTAACCTAACTAAACCTTATATCCTAACTTACCTAACCTAACTTAACTTACCCAAAACCTAACCTAACCTAACTTACCTTACCTTACCTAACCTAACCTACCTAACTAACTAACCTAACCTAACTTACCTAACCTAACCTAACTTAACTTATCCTAACTTACCTAACCTAAACCTACCTTACCTATCCTAACTTACCTATCCTAACCTAACTTAACCTAACTTACCTAACTTAACTTGCATAACCTAACCTAACCTAACTTAACTTACCTAACCTAACCTAACTTACCTTACCTAACCTAACTTACCTATCCTACTTACCTAACTTACCTATCCTAACTTAACTAAATTACTTAACTTAACCTAACTTACCTATCTTAAGTTAACTAACGTAACCTAACCTAACTTAACTTTCTGGCACGGGCTGCTTCCTGGGGGTGGAGGCCTGGTCGAGGACCGGGCCGCGGGGACACTAAAAAAATCCCCCGAAATCATCTCAAGATAACCTCAAGATAACTTGCATAACCTATCCTAACCTACACAACCTAACTTACCTTACCTACCCCTAACTTACCTAACCTATCTTAACCTAACCTAACTTAACTTTCATAACCTAACCTAACTTAACCTAACCTAACCTAACTTAACATAACCTAACCTAACCCATCACAACCTAACTTAACTTATCCTAACCTAACTAACCTAACCTAACTTATTTAACTAACCTAACCTAACTTATCCTATCCTAACTTAACCTATCCTAACCTATCACTCAATTGGCATAGAGTGAGGCGCCAGGGATTGCTTCCGTCGGTGGGAGAAATTAGCCGATTTCAGAGGACAGCTACAAGCTGGGCTGCCTCCAGCCCATAAGGTGCTGTTCCACCACGGTCTGCCTTCTCCACTGGGTGCGTGGGGCTTAGGCCCCACAATCCAACAGGTGGATCGTCAACCATGCACCAGGCAAATGAAAACAAACACAAGAGCCAACCAGCTCTCAAACTGGGCACGTGGAATATAAGGACCATGACATCGGGTCTCTTGGAAGATCTACTGGAAGTGAACGACGCCCGCAACACAGCTGTGATCAACAATGAACTATGCAGGCTCCAGATGGACGCAGTCGCCCTTCAGGAGACACGTCTGCTTGCGACCGGCAGCATGTGGGAGAAGGACTTTACCTTCTTCTGGCAGGTCAAACCACAAGAAGAGGTAATGGCTTCACTGTCAGGAACAGGTTATTAGGGTCCATAGTACTGCCCACGGAGAAGTCTGCAAAGATCCTCATTCAGCTTCACACAGCAGTAGGAATGGTCAGTTTCATCAACCCCAACGCACCGACACTGACCTCTTCTACCGAAGCAAAGGACGAGTTTTATGATGACCTCGGCCTAACTCTTAGAGACGTACCTCAACAACAGCCAGTCTTCCTCCTGGGAGACTTCAATGCAAGAGTTGGTTCTGATCACAGCTCTTGGCCTTCCTGCCTGGGCCAGTTTAGATTTGGGAAGATGAATGAGAATGGGCAGTGCCTCCTGGAGTTCTGATGTCGTCATGATCTCTGCATCACCAACTACTTCTTTGATACCAAGCCCCAGCACAAGGTTTCCTGGAGACACCCCAGGTCTAGGTATTGGCACCAAATCGACCTGATACTTACGGGGTGTAGCAGTCTGAGATGTTACAGCTGATCTGCAGCTTCGAGAGCGCAGATTGTGACACCGACCATTCTCTCTTTGCTTGCAGAGTAAAGTTCCAACCCCGGAAAATCCACAGAGCAAAGAAGGAGGGAAGACCACGCATTAACGTAAACAAGACCCGTGATCTTCACAAGGTGGAGGAATTTACTGGTGTGCTGGAAAACGCCCTTCCTGTACCACCCTGTGCTAGCACAAGTAAGAGGTGGTTACACCTCAGGAGCACTATTTTCAACACTGCCATGTCCACCTTCGGTAAGAGACAGAACAAGTCAGCAGATTGGTTTGAGGCCAGTGCAGAGGAACTGTTACCCCTCGTAGAGGAAAAGAGATGAGCTCTCTCAGCCTACAAGAACCTGCCCTCAGAAAGGAACCTACTGGCCCTCCGTACTGCCCGCAGTAGAGTTCAACAAGCTGCAAGACGCTGTGCTAACGATTACTTTCTTCGACTCTGTTCCAGCATCCAGACCGCGGCCACTGTCGGCAACATAAGAGGCATGTACGAAGGGATCAAACAGGCAACAGGCCCTACATAAAACAGGACGGCTCCTCTGAAGTCAGCTACCAGAGAGATCATTAAAGACTGTGATAAGAAGAATCTCTGGGTGGAACATCACTCCGAGCTCTACTCCAGAGAGAACTTGGTCAGCGTAGAGGCCTTGGATGCAATCGAGTGCCTGCCCACCGTGGAAGAACTTGAGAAAGCACTGATTCACTTTCCTCAGGAAATGCCCCATGAGATGCGGTAATCCGCCAGAAGTTCTCAAGTTAAAACTGGGCTTCATGAACTTCTGTGCCCGTGCTAGAGAGTGAGCTCTGTGCCACACGACATAAGAAATGCGAACATCATCACTCTCTACAGTTATAAAGGTGACAGAAGCGATTGCAAACAATTTCACGACATCTCCCTCCTTAGCGTCGTCGGCAAACTCTTCGCCAGGGTCGTCTTGGTCAGGCTTCAGATTCTTGCTGAAAGAGTGTACCCTGAGTCACAGTGTGGTTTCCGAGCAGAGAGGTCGACCACTGACATGGTGTTCTCCCTGAGACAGCTTCAAGAAAAGTGCAGGGAGCAGAGAAAAGCCTTATGCATCGCCTTCATTGACCTTACAAAGGCCTTCGACCTCGTGAGCAGGGACGGACTCTTCAAGATCTAGGCCAAAATTGGCTGCCCACCCATCCTACTCAACATGATACAGTCGTTCCACGAGGTCGTGAAGGGAACAGTCTTGTACGACGGCTCAACTTCTGAACCATTCAACATTAACAGTGGTGCTAAACAGGGGTGTGTCCTTGCTCTAACCCTGTTCGGCATCTTCGTCGAGACCTTCGTCAAGCCTGCCTTTGGAACAACCACAGAGCGCATCTATCTTGTATATCATCTGTACAAGATCTGATGGAAAGCTCTTCAATCTATCTAAACTCCGAGCAAAGACGAAAGTACAGATGAAAATCCTCAAGGACTTCCTTTCGCTGACGATGCAGCGATCACCACACACACAGCAGAATGCCTGCAGCAGCTACTCAACCACATTGCCGCAGCTTGTTCCGCATTTGGTCTGACAATCAGCCTGAGGAAGACACAAGTGATGGGACAAGACGTTAATGAGTTATCCTGTATAAACATCACAGACTACGTGCTATGTAGGCTACGTGTAGGCTGTCCACGAGTTTGTGTACCTGGGCTCCACAATCTCAGACACGCTTTCCCGGGACACTGAACTCAAAAGGCGTTTCTGGAAGGTGGCAACAACACTGGCCAGGCTCAGGTTGACTACTAAGTCCAGGGGCACAATCAGGTATTATACAACATGATAAGTGTAAGGGTACAGCTGAGGGGACACAACTGAGGGAACAACTCTATTTTTTATCTCTCTATCTTTTTCATTTTCCTTTATCATATTTTTCTTTTGTCTTGCTTTTCCTTCTTCCTCCTTCCTTATACACCTCATTGCTGTTCCTTTTCTTCATCTCCTTTCTTTATCCAAAATTCTTGAATCTGTGATTCCCCTTTTCCTCACGCTGCCTCAACAACAACTCATCGTAAGGACATATTTACTCTGGAACTTACATATGTGTGAAGAGCCTCATGGCTTCATGTATTCCCGGTGATGAATATGTATTAGTTCCTAACGGAATACGTATGATTATCTCAGTGTTTACAGTGTAGTGCTTGTGGGAAATTGACCTGTGAGATTTATATTTATTTAATTTATATTAATGTAAATAGTAATTTATGTTTTTCGATAGCAAATTGTATGATGGTTTAAAGTGGACTGTATTTCTTAAAATTCCCACAAATCGATTTCCTTACACATTATTGGGGGTTTATGTTTTATATGCAGTCAACCATATCAAATATTGGTTAGTAGACATTCTCTACAGGATTAAACTACACGTGTGACTAATTAAAGGGGGAGGCCTTATCTTTTTGTTGTTATATCATAGACAACCAGCATGAACATGGATGAATAAGCTAGTCGATCCACTTTGTGGGTGTAGCTGGTCTCCAACTCATGTACTGGAATACTAGGTTACTGGTGTTAATTGTTGTTCTTCTTCTGTTCCACCTGTCGAAGGGCACTCATAAATAATAGCAGTAATCCTAATACGAGAGTTATATCAGAGGAAATAAAGTATAATGATAATGAGATGAGAATTTTGCTCACCATTGGATGGCACTGTCTCGTGTGCTAACAGGCTTACCCTACATCTACCTAACATAAGTGGCCAAGAATGTAAAGATAATAAACAGGTTTCGGTAAGACACTTCCCTTGAAGTAGACGAAGTTGATGTAATAATGGAAGCACTTTACTCTCCATAACACCGTTGTCCAAGGGAAATTATAGAAGCTAAATTTGCTCCAGCAATTGTTAAAATTAACACTGGCTGCCCTACTGTCGCTCCTCCACTGACACCCTGGCTCTCTTCTCCAGATGTCGAAAGCCGTCAGAGGGCCTACATTTACTCGATTTTGGTACTGATAACAAAATTGATTCAAGGGAGCTGTTTTTATGATGTTTACAGTTCCGAGACCGAGGTATTAAGAATAATTCCCAACAGAATTAGTTGGCGAAATCTAATAGCGACGTAGCAATGATGTCTCGTTTTCCATGGGAGGAAATCTCGTTTTCTGTGAGATGAAAATTCCAGTGTGCCACGTCTTCTGAGTTAATTTATTATTTACAAACAACAGCAATATTATCTGCATATTGTATTAAATATTGGTAAATGGTGTCGGGTTTTCCGACAGTGCTTGAGCTATGTCGACCACTGTGTTGCAGGTGACACAGATCCTGAACTGGCTGGTGCGTATGACGTCAGACGTGGAGACCAACATCGTGTCTGTGGAGCGCATCAAGGAGTACTCTGAGGTGCCCCAGGAAGCTGCTTGGGAGATCCCAGACCACAAGCCCCCCAAGGTACGTGCTCTTGATAGTCACGAGGTTGTTCTTGGCTGTGCAACTTGCATGTTGCACACACACAACGCCTGGAGATTTATTTCATGAAGTGTTTGCTACAAGACTTTCAATATTGCTCTTGTGAATCTCCACTTCGACTATGGTGTTCAGTTTTGGTAAGCAAGCAATACAATGGAACACTATTAACTCGAACGCGTTCAGGTGAATGTTTACAAATATATTTTGTCGTATTGGGCCAGAACGGCTACAGCGTCACTGTAGTACCAGAGTACAGGCACCACCATACTCTAGCACCCCCTCCCCCAGAGTACAAGCATCACCATACTCTAGCACCATCACAGAGTACAAGCACTAAGATACTCTAGCACCACCATACTCTAGCACCACCATACTCTAGCACCCCCCCCCCAGAGTACAAGCATCACCATACTCTAGCACCCCCTCCCCCAGAGTACAAGCATCACCATACTCTAGCACCATCACAGAGTACAAGCACTGAGATACTCTAGCACCACCATACTCTAGCACCCCCCCCCCAGAGTACAAGCATCACCATACTCTAGCACCATCACAGAGTACCAGCACTACCATACTCTAGCACCATCACAGAGTACAAGCATCACCATACTCTAGCACCATCACAGAGTACAAGCATCACCATACTCTAGCACCATCACAGAGTACAAGCACTACCATACTCTAGCACCACCATACTCTAGCACCCCCACAGATTACAAGCACCACCATACTCTAGCACCATCAAATGAGAGTTTATGGTACAGTTATGGTTACAGGAGTGGCCCAGCACCGGGTGGTGGATTAAGTTACAGTAGTTACAGGAGTGGCCCAGCGCCGGGTGGTGGTCAGTAGTAGAAGTTATGACACAGAGCGGCAGTTTCCTTTTCCCGCCTGCCGGTCTATGGCATGGGTGTTTTTAGTTACATCTACGACACACGGTCTATGGCATGGGTGTTTTTAGTTACATCTACGACACACGGTCTATGGCATGGGTGTTTTTAGTTACATCTACGACACACGGTCTATGGCATGGGTGTTTTTAGTTACATCTACGACACACGGTCTATGGCATGGGTGTTTTTAGTTACATCTACGACACACGGTCTATGGCATGGGTGTTTTTAGTTACACCTACGACACACGGTCTATGGCATGGGTGTTTTTAGTTACACCTACGACACACGGTCTATGGTGTAAGGGTGCTTTTAATTTTATAATCATTAATCGAGTGCTTCCTTGCATCATATTTAATTTTCCCAAAGGGGATTAAACTACAGCGATTTGGGCCCTACAATTTTTCCCAGGAGATTAAAAGGCCGCCTCATGTCATCCCGATGTACAGTTACCTCGGCGACCCCCTGTTACCTGGGTGACCCCCTGTTACCTCTGCGACCCCCTGTTACCTGGGCGACCCCCCTGTTACCTGGGCGACCCCCTGTTACCTGGGCGACCCCCTGTTATCTGGACGACCCCCTGTTACCTCGGTGACCCCCCTGTTACCTGGGCGACCCCCCTGTTACCTGGGCGACCCCCCTGTTACCTGGGTGACCCCCTGTTACCTCGGTGACCCCCCTGTTACCTGGGTGACCCCCTGTTACCTCGGTGACCCCCCTGTTACCTGGGTGACCCCCTGTTACCTCGGTGACCCCCCTGTTACCTGGGCGACCCCCTGTTACCTCGGTGACCCCCTGTTACCTGGGTGACCCCCTGTTACCTCGGTGACCCCCTGTTACCTGGGTGACCCCCTGTTACCTCGGTGACCCCCCTGTTACCTGGGTGACCCCCAGTTACCTCGGTGACCCCCCTGTTACCTGGGCGACCCCCTGTTACCTGGGCGACCCCCCTGTTACCTGGGCGACCCCCTGTTACCTGGGCGACCCCCTGTTACCTGGGCGACCCCCTGTTACCTGGGCGACCCGCACAGGCACAGCTTTCCCCAATATTCAATGACACCATCAGCCAACCATCTTCCATCTTCCCTTAACAAGTTCCGTTTTCCGTGATAGCGTATTTAACCCTATTTTCATATTTATCCCCATTTTCAATATTATACTAATTAAAAAAACCTTTTCATACCAAATATTTATAGTGTTCAGCCAAACATAGTTTATTGAGCATAGTAATGGAACAGCCTACCTCCCAAACATATGAAGCAAAGGAGACAGCACAGAGTATGAACTGACAGGTAACTCACTCGCTTTAGCAATATATAACTCGAAGCCCCCAAACACAATATCAGTACTCAACACCCTGTTAAATGCTCCAAAACCCATTCAGTGACATACATATATTTTAAACATATGTAATTCTCGAAACAGCCTAAGTTAGACTAAGTTACTAAGTGTCTGGTTACAGGAGTGGCCCCAGCAGGGAGTGGTGGACTTAGTTACAGTGTCTGGTTACAGGAGTGACCCCAGCAGGGAGTAGTAGACTAAGTTACAGTGTCTGGTTACAGGAGTGGCCCCAGCAGGGAGTGGTGGACTTAGTTACAGTGTCTGGTTACAGGAGTGACCCCAGCAGGGAGTAGTAGACTAAGTTACAGTGTCTGGTTACAGGAGTGGCCCCAGCAGGGAGTGGTGGACTTAGTTACAGTGTCTGGTTACAGGAGTGACCCCAGCAGGGAGTAGTAGACTAAGTTACAGTGTCTGGTTACAGGAGTGGCCCCAGCAGGGAGTAGTAGACTAAGTTACAGTGTCTGGTTACAGGAGTGGCCCCAGCAGGGAGTGGTGGACTTAGTTACAGTGTCTGGTTACAGGAGTGACCCCAGCAGGGAGTAGTAGTCTAAGTTACAGTGTCTGGTTACAGGAGTGACCCCAGCAGGGAGTAGTGGACTAAGTTACAGTGTCTGGTTACAGGAGTGGCCCCAGCAGGGAGTGGTGGAGTTCAACAGCTACTCCACACGCTACAGGGAGGGACTGGACCTGGTCGTGAGGGATATTACTGTCAGCATTGCTGGAGGAGAGAAGGTGTGTACATCATCCTTGTACATGTTGTTCATCATCCGTGTACATGTTGTTCATCATCCGTGTACATGTTGTTCATCATCCGTGTACATGTTGTTCATCATCCGTGTACATGTTGTTCATCATCCGTGTACATGTTGTTCATCATCCGTGTACATGTTGTTCATCATCCTTGTACATGTTGTTCATCATCCTTGTACATGTTGTTCATCATCCTTGTACATGTTGTTCATCATCCGTGTACATGTTGTTCATCATCCGTGTACATGTTGTTCATCATCCGTGTACATGTTGTTCATCATCCTTGTACATGTTGTTCATCATCCGTGTACATGTTGTTCATCATCCTTGTACATGTTGTTCATCATCCTTGTACATGTTGTTCTGTGGGAACCGACCTGTGAGATTTATATTTATTTGATTTATATGAATTTATATAGAATTTATATTTACGTTAATTTATATACTTCGATAGCAATTTGTATAATGTTAAGTGGACTGTATTTCTGCAATAATCTCATAATCTCACAAATCGATCCTCTACACATTAGGGGGGTTTATATTAATTGAATTTATATATATGCAGCCAATCATACTACAGTATTAGACTACATACATTGAAGAGGTTCCTTATCTTATTGTACAGCAGGCCTTAGTCCACCAGGTATAACCAGGATGTAGACACCACATTTTCCCTCTTTGAGGTAGCTTCCATCACCCTGGTAACTGATGCACAAAGCATGCTTCCTCATCTTGACCTGTCAAAAGGGCGCTAGCTGTAAAGCCAGAATCCTAATATATGACAAGTATATCAGAGAAAACACTGTACAAGGAACCATGAAGACCTGGCTTAATTACCTTTAGTATGAGGCGATCTTATGCTCTAACCGGGTCACCCTATCCAATGACATTAATGGCTACTAATGAAAGATAAATAGGTTTCGGAAGAACACTTAACTTGAATTTGTTGACAGCGTGTTGATGATGGTACACCTTTGGTTTCCATAACACTACGTCCAAGTAAAATTAACAGGAGCCATATTGCTCCCGTGAGCCTCTGGTCTCAGTACAAACAATGGCTGCCCACTCCCTCACCCTGATGCCTGGCTTACATTGTCCAGATGACAGAAAGTGATAGAAGGGTCACATTTACTCTACTTTAATATTGATAATTAAGTTAATTTATATGAGATGTTTTTATGATGGTAAAGTCCAAAGACTAATGTATTTAAGAATAATTCCCACCATAATAGGTGGTGAATTTATAACAGTATGTGGAATGATATCCCGTTTTCTATAGACGGTAATTCCACTACAATTTACATTTTCTATGGGTTAACTTGTTTATACAATACAGCAGCAATTATCTGTCTGTATGATATTATTATTATTAAATGGTGTCGGATTTTCCGACATGTTCATCATCCCTGTACATGTTGTTCATCATCCCTGTACATGTTGTACATCATCCGTGTACATGTTGTACATCATCCCTGTACATGTTGTTCATCATCCATGTACATGTTGTTCATCATCCCTGTACATGTTGTACATCATCCGTGTACATGTTGTACATCATCCGTGTACATGTTGTACATCATCAGTGTACATGTTGTACATCATCCCTGTTCCTGTTGTACATCATCCCTGTTCCTGTTGTACATCATCCCTGTTCCTGTTGTACATCATACCAGTACATACTGTACATCATCCGTGTACATGTTGTACATCATACTAGAATATGTGGTATAATATCAGTGTGTAAAGTACTGTATATTGTAACAGTGTATGCGGTGCTTTGCATATACCAATACTTATATGTTGCCAATATACTGTTATATATATATATATATATATATATATATATATATATATATATATGTCGTACCTAGTAGCCAGAACGCACTTCTCAGCCTACTATGCAAGGCCCGATTTGCCTAATAAGCCAAGTTTTCATGAATTAATTGTTTTTCGACTACCTAACCTACCTAACCTAACCTAACCTAACTTTTTCAGCTACCTAACCTAACCTAACCTATAAAGATAGGTTAGGTTAGGTTAGGTAGGGGGTTGGTTAGGTTCGGTCATAAATCTACGTTAATTTTAACTCCAATAAAAAAAAATTGACCTCATACATAATGAAATGGGTAGCTTTATCATTTCGTAAGAAAAAAATTAGAGAAAATATATTAATTCCGGAAAACTTGGCTTATTAGGCAAATTGGGCCTTGTATAGTAGGCTGAAAAGTGCGTTCTGGCTACTAGGTACGACATATATATATATATATATATATATATATATATATATATATATATATATATATATATATCGTATCTTTAAATAATGCTGATCATTGCAGTTTATATGCATGTTGAACAAGTTTATTATGTATATCATTGATGTATATACTGTATATCATATATTAATATGTTGTATTTCAATACCAATGTATATTTTTATCATACTTGTATACATTATACTGTACATCATACCAGCATTATTGTACATTGTTCCTGAACTCACAGTAATACATGCAACTATTATCATACCAACCTATACTGTATATCTAGTATATATATACTGTATTCCACATTAGTGTATACTATACATTATACCAGTATACAGTCTGTACATAACCAGATAATGCATACCGTATGTATGAGCTATGATGTATGTTTTCAGCCAAGTTAATGTGATATACCCTGTGCGTATAGTCTGTATTATACTAGTATATACTCTGTGTATGTAGTATATCATACAATATAAACTGTATACGACACTAAATTATTTCTTATAAGTATATACTCTATATAATACTATTATCAACCGTAAATTATACCAGTATTTACTACAACATGCAGGTGTATAATGTATATAATTCCTACTATCATACAGTATACACTGTATTTCTTACAAGTAAGATTTTATTGAATCACGTGCAATACAGTACAGGATTTATTATCTATAATAATAAATTATATAATTTTGCAGTTATCTAAAGTTAAAATATAATGTTTTCTTCAAGATAGGGATAGTAGGCCGTACGGGGGCCGGTAAGTCCTCCCTCACCCTCGGCCTCTTCCGGATTATCGAGGCCGCTGGCGGTAACATCACCATTGATGGTGTCAACATATCAACCATAGGCCTACATGACGTCCGTGGGAGACTCACCATCATTCCGCAGGTGAGTTAGTGTGACATCATTCCTCAAGTGAGTCTGAGGAATGATGTCACAGTGTTATACAAGAACATTGAACAAGTGAACGGAGCTTATGTTTGATAACTTGCTTATAGACGATCTAGAACTTGAAGACACTGTCACGAATGTAGTAAGATCATTTGATATGACCAGAATAGAGATGGGTCTATGTTCGTTTGTTACTCGGGGCAAGATAATGGGTATCTCTGTGGCAAGATGTTGGCACTGACGAAACATATGATGAGTCACAATAACAGGGCTGAAGATATGATGATTAACCTGCACATTAGGAAGTCAAGAATCACCACGTGTGTACCCGTCTTGGACGCCTTAACTCCCAGGGAAGGACCCAAACATCGTCGTTCCTTAATTCCCTGATGCGATGTTTGGTTATCATGCCGGGTAAACATCGTATTTAATAATATATAATTATGTATTACCTAAAGATTGTAATGGGTTAAAATTCCAAGAGAACAGTTCAAAGTTTAGTATAATAATGATAATGAAAGCAAGATGAAGAGAGAAAAAATTATCAGTACTATGTCGTGTCCGCTAGTATAATTGTGTACTATGTCGTGCCCGCTAGTATAACTGTGTACTATGTCGTGCCCGCTAGTATAACTGTGTACTATGTCGTGCCCGCTAGTATAACTGTGTACTATGTCGTGTCCGCTAGTATAACTGTGTACTATGTCGTGTCCGCTAGTATAACTGTGTACTATGTCGTGCCCGCTAGTATAACTGTGTACTATGTCGTGTCCGCTAGTATAACTGTGTACTATGTCATGTCCGCTAGTATAACTGTGTACTATGTTGTGTCCGCTAGTATAACTGTGTACTATGTCATGTCCGCTAGTATAACTGTGTACTGTGTCATGTCCGCTAGTATAACTGTGTACTATGTCGTGTCCGCTAGTATAACTGTGTACTATGTCGTGTCCGCTAGTATAACTGTGTACTATGTCGTGTCCGCTAGTATAACTGTGTACTATGTCGTGTCCGCTAGTATAACTGTGTACTATGTCGTGCCCGCTAGTATAACTGTGTACTATGTCGTGTCCGCTAGTATAACTGTGTACTATGTCATGTAAGCTAGTATAACTGTGTACTATGTTGTGTCCGCTAGTATAACTGTGTACTATGTCATGTCCGCTAGTATAACTGTGTACTATGTCATGTCCGCTAGTATAACTGTGTACTATGTTGTGTCCGCTAGTATAACTGTGTACTATGTCATGTCCGCTAGTATAACTGTGTACTATGTTGTGTCCGCTAGTATAACTGTGTACTATGTCGTGTCCGCTAGTATAACTGTGTACTATGTCGTGTCCGCTAGTATAACTGTGTACTATGTCGTGTCCGCTAGTATAACTGTGTACTATGTCGTGTCCGCTAGTATAACTGTGTACTATGTCGTGTCCGCTAGTATAACTGTGTACTATGTCGTGTCCGCTAGTATAACTGTGTACTATGTCGTGTCCGCTAGTATAACTGTGTACTATGTCGTGCCCGCTAGTATAACTGTGTACTATGTCGTGTCCGCTAGTATAACTGTGTACTATGTCATGTCCGCTAGTATAACTGTGTACTATGTTGTGTCCGCTAGTATAACTGTGTACTATGTCATGTCCGCTAGTATAACTGTGTACTATGTCATGTCCGCTAGTATAACTGTGTACTATGTCATGTCCGCTAGTATAACTGTGTACTATGTCGTGCCCGCTAGTATAACTGTGTACTATGTCGTGTCCGCTAGTATAACTGTGTACTATGTCGTGCTCGCTAGTATAACTGTGTACTATGTCGTGTCCGCTAGTATAACTGTGTACTATGTCGTGTCCGCTAGTATAACTGTGTACTATGTTGTGTCCGCTAGTATAACTGTGTACTATGTCATGTCCGCTAGTATAACTGTGTACTATGTCGTGCCCGCTAGTATAACTGTGTACTATGTCGTGTCCGCTAGTATAACTGTGTACTATGTCGTGTCCGCTAGTATAACTGTGTACTATGTCGTGTCCGCTAGTATAACTGTGTACTATGTCGTGTCCGCTAGTATAACTGTGTACTATGTTGTGTCCGCTAGTATAACTGTGTACTATGTCATGTCCGCTAGTATAACTGTGTACTATGTCGTGCCCGCTAGTATAACTGTGTACTATGTCGTGTCCGCTAGTATAACTGTGTACTATGTCATGTCCGCTAGTATAACTGTGTACTATGTTGTGTCCGCTAGTATAACTGTGTACTATGTCATGTCCGCTAGTATAACTGTGTACTATGTCATGTCCGCTAGTATAACTGTGTACTATGTTGTGTCCGCTAGTATAACTGTGTACTATGTCATGTCCGCTAGTATAACTGTGTACTATGTTGTGTCCGCTAGTGTAACTGTGTACTATGTCGTGTCCGCTAGTATAACTGTGTACTATGTCGTGTCCGCTAGTATAACTGTGTACTATGTCGTGTCCGCTAGTATAACTGTGTACTATGTCGTGTCCGCTAGTATAACTGTGTACTATGTCGTGTCCGCTAGTATAACTGTGTACTATGTCGTGTCCGCTAGTATAACTGTGTACTATGTCGTGTCCGCTAGTATAACTGTGTACTATGTCGTGCCCGCTAGTATAACTGTGTACTATGTCGTGTCCGCTAGTATAACTGTGTACTATGTCATGTCCGCTAGTATAACTGTGTACTATGTTGTGTCCGCTAGTATAACTGTGTACTATGTCATGTCCGCTAGTATAACTGTGTACTATGTCATGTCCGCTAGTATAACTGTGTACTATGTTGTGTCCGCTAGTATAACTGTGTACTATGTCATGTCCGCTAGTATAACTGTGTACTATGTTGTGTCCGCTAGTATAACTGTGTACTATGTCATGTCCGCTAGTATAACTGTGTACTATGTCATGTCCGCTAGTATAACTGTGTACTATGTTGTGTCCGCTAGTATAACTGTGTACTATGTCGTGTCCGCTAGTATAACTGTGTACTATGTCGTGCCCGCTAGTATAACTGTGTACTATGTCATGTCCGCTAGTATAACTGTGTACTATGTCGTGTCCGCTAGTATAACTGTGTACTATGTCGTGTCCGCTAGTATAACTGTGTACTATGTCATGTCCGCTAGTATAACTGTGTACTATGTCGTGTCCGCTAGTATAACTGTGTACTATGTCATGTCCGCTAGTATAACTGTGTACTACGTCGTGCCCGCTAGTATAACTGTACATATAATATTATAATATTAAACATATAAATATATATACATATATATTGTTACAAATATACAATATACATATAATATTATAAATATATAGATATATACAACAAAACAAGGCAATATGGGAGTAAATAAACAAATTTGTGGCCACTGTAACAACTCCTTAAAGACGAAGGTAACGGGAATTGAATGTTATATCTGTAAGACTAGATTCCATTCAGCTTGTACAGGAGTGAGTAACACTACGGCACTGAGAGATGGCCACTTGCTTTGGGTGTGTAAAAATGACCTGCCAGCTTGGAATATCCTAAAAAACCTTCTAGATAACATGACGCATGAACGGAAAACATCATTCATTGGAAGCCTACCAGCCATCCAGAAGGAGTGGGAAAGGAACAACAATTCTAATATACAAGGGGCGGAGGCTATAGTCAGGGATGAAACTGAGGCTGAAACTCAGGAAGTTGCAAACTCTGACTCAGTAGGCCAGGATGTAGATGACAGTAAACTAGAAAGTGTACCAGACGACACTGACAGCTCGATAGGTACAGACACCACGACGGTTCTCGATAGAGCAATTCAGAACAGAAGGACGACAGACTTATGCAAATTTTATGCAAAGGGCATATGCAGACATAGATATGCTGGTAATAAGAAAGGATTAGAATGCAGTTACCAACATCCCAAAAAATGTTTAAATATGCTTAGGAAAGGTGAGTGTCGATTTGGATCAATATGTAGGTTTTTCCATCCTGACATGTGCCAAACCTCACTGGAGGACAGAAAATGCTATGACCTTAGCTGCCCACACTTTCACGTGAAAGGCACGGAACGCTACATAAAGAGTGGCAAGCAGGATAATGAATTTGGAGGAAACTCTATAAATTTTTATACCAGACCGGCAGAGAATTCAAAAGGAGCAGCAGGGAGAGTGTATGGAACTGGATGCCAGATCCACTGGCATTCCAAAATTACAGATACAATTACCCACCGAAAGGGAACTACAACTACGACAGAAAACTGCCCTACAACAATCAGTACTGGTCAGAACAAACTCATTATGTCCACGATTAATGGACGTGCCGAAAAAGTCTCCCATTCAAACTATCACTAATAGAGTAACCTCATTCATCTTTGCCAACATACAAGGACTGAAAACAAGAACAAACAACAAAGTACAGTTCATAAATGGCCTCCTCACGGAGTCAAATGCAGTAATTGGAGCTTTCACAGAAACCCATGCAGGGGAATTGTTGGACAGTGAGATCTGGATTCCAGGATATAACCTATACAGGTGTGATAGGAAAATTAGGTCACATGGAGGAGTGGGTCTGTATATTAGGGAAGACCTTGTATGCTCGGAGCTCCTAAACGTTACAAATGAGGTGGTAGAGGTACTGGGATTAAAAATTGAGAAAATAAATTTAGTGATTATACTAATATACAAACCGCCAGATGCAACGGCTGAGGAATTCACAGAACAGATATGCAAAATAGAGAATAGCCTTGATAATTTGGAGAACCCGATACCTGATATTATTTTCCTAGGTGACTTCAACTTGCCTAGTCTCAGGTGGAAAATAGCAAACAATAATATTATACCAGGAAACCTATCGGGACCTAGCCAACCACAGATTAGAGAACTACTTAGATTCTGTGACAAATTTTCACTCAATCAGCAGATATCGGAGCCAACGAAAAATGAAAATATTCTAGATCTGGTCTTTACGAACAATGAAGACATTATCAGAGACATTATGATATCAGATACCACATACTCAGATCACAAACTCATTGAAGTGCAAACGACCATCAATACTCAGAATAGACCTAAAACGTTGATAAAGCGAGAGGGGCTATTCAGTAAATTCAATTTTAATAATAAAAGGATAGACTGGGAGATAATAAACAGGGAACGTACAAACATTCCATGGGGAACTGTTCTAAATAATACAAGTCCTACAGAAGGAATAGAAAAACTTACTTCAGAAGCGTATCAAGTCCCCGCCAGTATAACCCAGTACCATGTCATGCCCGCCAGTATAAACCAGTACCATGTCGTGCCCGCCAGTATAACCCAGTACCATGTCCTGCCCGCCAGTATAACCCAGTACCATGTCGTGCCCGCCAGTATAACCCAGTTCCATATCATGTCCACCAGTATAACACAGTACCATGTCCTGCCCGCTAGCATAACCCAGTACCATGTCGTGCCCGCTAGTATAACCCAGTACCATGTCGTGTCCGCTAGTATAACCCAGTACCATGTCGTGCCCGCGAGTATAACCCAGTACCATGTCGTGCCCGCCAGTATAACCCAGTACCATGTCATGCCCGCCAGTATAACCCAGTACCATGTCATGCCCGCCAGTATAACCCAGTACCATGTCGTGCCCGCTAGTATAACCCAGTACCATGTCGTGTCCGCTAGTATAACCCAGTACGATGTCATGCCCGCCAGTATAACCCAGTACCATGTCATGCCCGCCAGTATAACCCAGTACCATGTCATGCCCGCCAGTATAACCCAGTACCATGTCATGCCCGCCAGTATAACCCAGTACCATGTCATGCCTGCTAGTATAACCCAGTACCATGTCATGCCCGCCAGTATAACCCAGTACCATGTCATCCCCGCCAGTATAACCCAGTACCATGTCATGCCCGCCAGTATAACCCAGTACCATGTCGTGCCCGCTAGTATAACCCAGTACCATTTCGTGCCCGCCAGTATAACCCAGTACCATGTCGTGCCTGCTAGTATAACCCAGTACCATGTCATGCCCGCCAGTATAACCCAGTACCATGTCATGCCTGCTAGTATAACCCAGTACCATGTCATGCCCGCCAGTATAACCCAGTACCATGTCATGCCTGCTAGTATAACCCAGTACCATGTCATACCCGCCAGTATAACCCAGTACCATGTCGTGCCCGCCAGTATAACCCAGTACCATGTCGTGCCCGCTAGCATAACCCAGTACCATGTCATGCCCGCCAGTATAACCCAGTACCATGTCATGCCTGCTAGTATAACCCAGTACCATGTCATACCCGCCAGTATAACCCAGTACCATGTCGTGCCCGCCAGTATAACCCAGTACCATGTCATGCCTGCTAGTATAACCCAGTACCATGTCATACCCGCCAGTATAACCCAGTACCATGTCATGCCCGCGAGTATAACCCAGTACCATGTCATGCCCGCGAGTATAACCCAGTACCATGTCGTGGCCGCCAGTATAACCCAGTACCATGTCATGCCCGCCAGTATAACCCAGTACCATGTCGTGCCCGCGAGTATAACCCAGTACCATGTCGTGCCCGCGAGTATAACCCAGTACCATGTCATGCCCGCCAGTATAACCCAGTACCATGTCATGCCTGCTAGTATAACCCAGTACCATGTCATGCCTGCTAGTATAACCCAGTACCATGTCATACCCGCCAGTATAACCCAGTACCATGTCGTGCCCGCTAGCATAACCCAGTACCATGTCGTGCCCGCCAGTATAACCCAGTACCATGTCGTGCCCACTAGCATAACCCAGTACCATGTCATGCCCGCCAGTATAACCCAGTACCATGTCGTGCCGCTAGTATAACCCAGTACCATGTCGTGCCCGCTAGCATAACCCAGTACCATGTCGTACCCGCTAGCATAACCCAGTACCATGTCGTGCCCGCTAGCATAACCCAGTACCATGTCGTGCCCGCTAGCATAACCCAGTACCATGTCGTGCCCGCCAGTATAACCCAGTACCATATCATGTCCGCCAGTATAACCCAGTACCATGTCGTGCCCGCCAGTATAACCCAGTACCATATCATGTCCGCCAGTATAACCCAGTACCATGTCGTGCCTGCTAGTTAACCCAGTATAATGTCGTGCCTGCTAGTATAACCCAGTACCATGTCATGCCCGCCAGTATAACCCAGTACCATGTCGTGCCCGCTAGTATAACCCAGTACCATGTCGTGCCTGCTAGTATAACCCAGTACCATGTCGTGCCCGCTAGTATAACCCAGTACCATGTCGTGCCCGCCAGTATAACCCAGTACCATGTCGTGCCCGCCAGTATAACCCAGTACCATGTCGTGCCCGCCAGTATAACCCAGTACCATGTTGTGGCCGCCAGTATAACCCAGTACCATGTCGTGCCCGCTAGCATAACCCAGTACCATGTCGTGAACGCTAGCATAACCCAGTACCATGTCGTGCCCGCCAGTATAACCCAGTACCATGTCGTGCCCGCCAGTATAACCCAGTACCATGTTGTGGCCGCCAGTATAACCCAGTACAATGTTGTGCCCGCTAGCATAACCCAGTACCATGTCGTGCCCGCTAGCATAACCCAGTATAATGTCGTGCCCGCTAGCATAACCCAGTATAATGTCGTGCCCGCTAGCATAACCCAGTATAATGTCGTGCCCGCTAGCATAACCCAGTACCATGTCGTGCCCGCTAGCATAACCCAGTATAATGTCGTACCCGCTAGCATAACCCAGTACCATGTCGTACCCGCTAGCATAACCATGGTGTGTGGTGTCCACGACACAGGACCCGGTGCTCTTCAGCGGGACGCTCCGGATGAACCTGGACCCCTTCAACATGTACGACGACGACAAGGTGTGGTCGGCCCTGGAACACTCACACCTCAAGGAGTTCGTGTGCAGTCTGCAGCGGGGCTTGCAACACGAAGTGGCAGAGGGCGGAGAGAACCTCAGGTACGGACTGTTTCCTGTCTGTTCCAGACTCTCCCAGTCTGTTCCAGACTCTCCCAGTCGGTCCCAGACTGTCCCAGACTATTTCAGAGTATCCCAGACTGTCCCAGACTGTCCCAGACTGTCTCAGAGTATCCCAGACTGTCTCAGACTGTCTCAGAGTATCCCAGACTGTCTCAGACTCTCCCAGTCTGTCCCAGACTGTCTAAGACTGTCCCAGACTGTCCCAGACTGTCTCAGAGTATCTCAGACTGTCCCAGACTGTCTCAGAGTATCCCAGACTATCTCAGACTGTCTCAGAGTATCCCAGACTGTCTCAGACTGTCCCAGACTGTCCCAGACTATCTCAGAGTATCCCAGACTGTCCCAGACTGTCTCAGAGTATCCCAGACTGTCCCAAACTGTCCCAGACTGTCCCAAACTGTCCCAGACTGTCTCAGAGTATCCCAGACTGTCTCAGAGTATCCCAGACTGTCTCAGACTGTCCCAAACTGTCCCAGACTATCTCAGAGTATCCCAGACTGTCTCAGACTGTCTCAGACTGTCCCAGACTGTCCCAGACTTTCCCAGACTGTCCATCTGAACATCTTCTGCAGTGCTCTATTTTTAAATACCTTCTTAATCTGTGATAGACTCTGCTCTACTGTATATACCCGACAACATGACTGCTCTACTGTATATACCCGACAACATGACTGCTCTACTGTATATACCCGACAACATGACTGCTCTACTGTATATACCCGACAACATGACTGCTCTACTGTATATACCCGACAATATGACTGCTCTACTGTATATACCCGACAATATGACTGCTCTACTGTATATACCCGACAACATGACTGCTCTACTGTATATACCCGACAATATGACTGCTCTACTGTATATACCCGACAATATGACTGCTCTACTGTATATACCCGACAATATGACTGCTCTACTGTATATACCCGACAACATGACTGCTCTACTGTATATACCCGACAATATGACTGCTCTACTGTATATACCCGACAATATGACTGCTCTACTGTATATACCCGACAATATGACTGCTCTACTGTATATACCCGACAATATGACTGCTCTACTGTATATACCCGACAATATGACTGCTCTACTGTATATACCCGACAATATGACTGCTCTACTGTATATACCCGACAATATGACTGCTCTACTGTATATACCCGACAATATGACTGCTCTACTGTATATACCCGACAATATGACTGCTCTACTGTATATACCCGACAACATGACTGCTCTACTGTATATACCCGACAACATGACTGCTCTACTGTATATACCCGACAACATGACTGCTCTACTGTATATACCCGACAACATGACTGCTCTACTGTATATACCCGACAACATGACTGCTCTACTGTATATACCCGACAACATGACTGCTCTACTGTATATACCCGACAACATGACTGCTCTACTGTATATACCCGACAACATGACTGCTCTACTGTATATACCCGACAATATGACTGCTCTACTGTATATACCCGACAACATGACTGCTCTACTGTATATACCCGACAACATGACTGCTCTACTGTATATACCCGACAATATGACTGCTCTACTGTATATACCCGACAACATGACTGCTCTACTGTATATACCCGACAACATGACTGCTCTACTGTATATACCCGACAACATGACTGCTCTACTGTATATACCCGACAATATGACTGCTCTACTGTATATACCCGACAACATGACTGCTCTACTGTATATACCCGACAATATGACTGCTCTACTGTATATACCCGACAACATGACTGCTCTACTGTATATACCCGACAACATGACTGCTCTACTGTATATACCCGACAACATGACTGCTCTACTGTATATACCCGACAACATGACTGCTCTACTGTATATACCCGACAACATGACTGCTCTACTGTATATACCCGACAACATGACTGCTCTACTGTATATACCCGACAATATGACTGCTCTACTGTATATACCCGACAATATGACTGCTCTACTGTATATACCCGACAACATGACTGTTCCAGTAGGTCGGCCTTGCATATATATACCACTTACTTATTTGTTTATAACATTTTATTGCTTTAAAAAAAATGATGTTGAAAGTTAAGTACAGTTTTAATTTGGTCACCTTTAAATAATAATTAACTCAAATACACACAAGTACATTGTACACAAGTGCTACCCAATCACTTCCTGCGTGCACGATGGTTGGAATATTTACAATAAAGAATAGAATGACATGTAATATTAAGTATTAAGTGTTGACAATAAAGTGTTGACGCTTGTGTGTCAGCGTGGGCCAGAGGCAGCTGGTGTGCCTGGCGCGGGCACTCCTCCGCAAGACCCGGGTCTTGGTGCTGGACGAGGCCACCGCCGCCGTCGACCTGGAGACCGACGACCTCATCCAGCAGACCATCCGCCACGAGTTCAGAGAGTGTACTGTCTTCACCATCGCTCATAGACTCAATACAATCATGGACTCAACACGGTGAGTGGGTTATGTCAGTGTCAACTAGTACATGGGAGGGGGGGTCCTCAACCGGTTGGGTATAGGGGTTGAGGTCCACATGAGCTGGCTGAAGGGGCCCTCAACCGGTTGGCTACGAGGGGTGAGGTCCACATGAGCTGGCTGAAGGGGCCCTCAACCGGTTGGCTACGAGGGGTGAGGTCCACATGAGCTGGCTGAAGGGGGCCTCAACCGGTTGGCTATGAGGGGTGAGGTCCTTATGAGCTGGCTGAAGGGGGCCTCAACCGGTTGGCTACGAGGGTTGAGGTCCTTATGAGCTGGCTGAAGGGGGCCTCAACCGGTTGGCTACGAGGGGTGAGGTCCTTATGAGCTGGCTGAAGGGGGCCTCAACCGGTTGGCTACGAGGGGTGAGGTCCTTATGAGCTGGCTGAAGGGGGCCTCAACCGGTTGGCTATGAGGGGTGAGGTCCTTATGAGCTGGCTGAAGGGGCCCTCAACCGGTTGGCTACGAGGGGTGAGGTCCTTATGAGCTGGCTGAAGGGGCCCTCAACCGGTTGGCTACGAGGGGTGAGGTCCACATGAGCTGGCTGAAGGGGGCCTCAACCGGTTGGCTATGAGGGGTGAGGTCCACATGAGCTGGCTGAAGGGGGCCTCAACCGGTTGGCTACGAGGGGTGAGGTCCACATGAGCTGGCTGACCCTGCTCACGCAATTCTTTATGGCGCGTAAATTATTGCGTCGCTATCCAGTAGAAACATCGCAATATAACACACGTAACAAGCTTACCTTCTTATCTGTCCTTCATATAAAGTACATATCAACTAAGGGGCTAAGGGGGCATTAGATCCCAATTTGCCCCAAATATGCAATAAATGAAAACTCGTTCGATTTCAATCAAACTTTTTTGACAAGTTGTATATGAAAAGGGTTTCATCTGGTACAAGTTTCAGCATCGTAGCGAAAAAAGGAAGGGATAATAAAAATACTTTCTTCAAATGTCAAAATTATACCAAAATGATCAAAAACGATTATCAAACAAAAGTGTCAACTGAAATCATATCTATGACTCTTTGCTATCACAATAGTATATATTAAAAAAATATTTTAATTAGTTTCATTAGAAAAAATATTAAGTTAAAAAAAATTAGTTTTTTCAATTTTTTGGTTTTCTAAGAAAATAGTTTAGTGCATACAATGAAAATAGATTTATGGATTACCTTCCTATTACCTTAACAGCTACCAAAATTGGGTAGCCTCTGCGATCATACTTCTGCTGCCTAACACGCAAGACCTTCAAATACTGAGACCAAGATTAGTCTAACTCAGTTACGGAAGTTTAAGGAGGGAACCAAATGATCTTCACTATACCCTGACTGAGTGAGGCACTGGACTTGGACAAGTACTGGTAGTACTTGTCGGAAACTTTCAGTAAAAACTTCGAAGTGAATGTTTTATGTTGTCCTGTACACCCTTCCATTGTCAGTCGAAACATTCTCGACCCTCACGGTAGATCTTCTCCTCTCTTAATCTGTCACTCACTTGCTACTGCTCTATGGTAGGTCCCTCTACCATTGTCTAGAGTACTCTCACATGGGACAGTTCCCTCTACCATTGTCTAGAGTACTCTCACATGGGTAGGTCCCTCTACCATTGTCTAGAGTACTCTCACATGGGTAGGTCCCTCTACCATTGTCTAGAGTACTCTCACATGGGACAGTTCCCTCTACCATTGTCTAGAGTACTCTCACATGGGATAGTTCCCTCTACCATTGTCTAGAGTACTCTCACATGGGGTAGGTCCCTCTACCATTGTCTAGAGTACTCTCACATGGGATAGTTCCCCTCTACCATTGTCTAGCGTACTCTAACATGGGACAGTTCCCTCTACCATTGTCTAGAGTACTCTCACATGGGTAGGTCCCTCTACCATTGTCTAGAGTACTCTCACATGGGTAGGTCCCTCTACCATTGTCTAGAGTACTCTCACATGGGATAGTTCCCTCTACCATTGTCTAGAGTACTCTCACATGGGTGGGTCCCTCTACCATTGTCTAGAGTACTCTCACATGGGGTAGGTCCCTCTACCATTGTCTGGAGTACTCTCACACGGGATAGTTCCCTCTACCATTGTCTTGAGTACTCTCACATGGGACAGTTCCCTCTACCATTGTCTAGAGTACTCTCACATGGGACAGTTCCCTCTACCATTGTCTAGAGTACTCTCACATGGGACAGTTCCCTCTACTATTGTCTTGAGTACTCTCACATGGGGTAGGTCCCTCTACCATTGTCTAGAGTACTCTCACATGGGATAGTTCCCTCTACCATTGTCTAGAGTACTCTCACATGGGATAGTTCCCTCTACCATTGTCTAGAGTACTCTCACATGGGTAGGTCCCTCTACCATTGTCTAGAGTACTCTCACATGGGTAGGTCCCTCTACCATTGTCTAGAGTACTCTCACATGGGGTAGGTCCCTCTACCATTGTCTAGAGTACTCTCACATGGGTAGGTCCCTCTACCATTGTCTAGGGTACTCTCACATGGGGTAGGTCCCTCTACCATTGTCTAGAGTACTCTCACATGGGTAGGTCCCTCTACCATTGTCTAGAGTACTCTCACATGGGGTAGGTCCCTCTACCATTGTCTAGAGTACTCTCACATGGGGTAGGTCCCTCTACCATTGTCTAGAGTACTCTCACATGGGTAGGTCCCTCTACCATTGTCTAGAGTACTCTCACATGGGATAGTTCCCTCTACCATTGTCTAGAATACTCTGTCATGGGGTAGGTCACTAACCTTTATCTCAGGAACATATTGATACCTCATTCCCAAAACTCTTGAATATCAACAGACAAAACATAATTTTTCACAATTGCACTTTATATATATATGAATTTTCCCTGACAATAATTCAGTGACGAAAGTGTTGGTTAATATAAGTTTCATTTATTTACTGATATAACTTATGTTGAATATACTTTCTAATGATATATATATTTAATTACTCTGACTTATATTTTATGTTTTATAGCAAAACAGACACACAACAAGGTGCAGACGCTCCAATATTACCACAAGAAAAATAATAAATATAGGCTTACGGGTTGAGACAAAAATAAACACAAAGTTGGTAATGGTGGAGATGATAGCAAACATCCCAGCCAGTGTGTGCTGGCCTTACACGATGATAGCAAACATCCCAGCCAGTGTGTGATGGCCTTACACGATGATAGCAAACATCCCAGCCAGTGTGTGCTGGCCTTACACGGCCTCTGGAAGGTTACCAGCTGGGACCCACACAGTCAAGGTTACCAGCCAGTGTGTGCTGGCCTTACACGGCCTCTGGAAGGTTACCAGCTGGGACCCACACAGTCAAGGTTACCCACTGGTATCCTCATGGTCAAGGTTACCAGCTGGGACCCACACAGTCAAGGTTACCCACTGGTATCCTCATGGTCAAGGTTACCCACTGGTACCCACACCATGAAGGCAGCGGGTAGTACCCACACCATGAAGGCAGCGGGTAGTACCCACACCATGAAGGCAGCGGGTAGTACCCACACCATGAAGGCAGCGGGTAGTACCCACACCATGAAGGCAGCGGGTAGTACCCACACCATGAAGGCAGCGGGTAGTACCCACACCATGAAGGCAGCGGGTAGTACCCACACCATGAAGGCAGCGGGTAGTACCCACACCATGAAGGCAGCGGGTAGTACCCACACCATGAAGGCAGCGGGTAGTCCCCACACCATGAAGGCAGCGGGTAGTACTCACACCATGAAGGCAGCGGGTAGTAATCACACCATGAAGGCAGCGGGTAGTACCCACACCATGAAGGCAGCGGGTAGTACCCACACCATGAAGGCAGCGGGTAGTACCCACACCATGAAGGCAGCGGGTAGTACCCACACCATGAAGGCAGCTGCTCCGTCTCTTGTGTTTTATCCCAATGTGTTTGTTATGGCTATGTTTAGGCCTAAGTTCCTGATATTTACATGTGTTTCCAGGGTGTTGGTCTTGGACAACGGTGTGGTGAAGGAGTTGGACCAACCATCTGCTCTGCTCCAGGACAAGTCCTCTATTTTCTATGGCATGGCTCTGGACGCTGGACTCGTCTGAGTCTCCTCTGTGGAACGGATCTGGACTCTGGACTCGTTTGAGTCTCCTCTGTGGCACAGATCTGGACTCTGGAGTCGTCTGTGTCTCTTCTGAGAATTATACAGCTTATTTGAGAAACCTTTGGTAGCGGCTAACGTGTATCTTTTTATAAAAATAAAGTTGTCTGTGATATGAAATTAAAAAATAGTTTCTTATTCATGTACTCACCTATTTGTACTCACCTATTTGTGCTTGCGGGGGTAGAGCTTTGGCTCTTTGGTCCCGCCTCTCAACTGTCAATCAACTGGTGTACAGACTCCTGAGCCTTCAGGGCTCTATCATATCTACATTTGAAACTGTGTATGGAGTCAACCTCCACCACATCACTGCCTAATGCATTCCATCCGTTAACTACTCTGACACTGAAAAAGTTCCTTCTAACCTCCCTGTGGCTCATGTGGGTTCTCAGTTTCCACATGTGTCCCCTTGTTCGCGTACCACCAGTGTTGAATAGTTTATCCTTGTTTACCCGGTCGATTCTCCTGAGAATTTTGTAGGTTGTGATCATGTCTCCCCTTACTCTTCTGTATTCCAGTGTCGTAAGGTGCAATTCCCGCAGCCTTTCCTCGTAAGTCATGCCTCTTAGTTCTGTGACTAGTCTAGTGGCATAACGTTGGACTTTTTCCAGCTTCGTCTTGTGCTTGACAAGGTACGGGCTCCATGCTGAGGCCGCATACTCCAGGATTGGTCTTACATATGTTGTGTACAAGATTCTGAATGATTCCTTACACAGGTTCCTGAACGCTGTTCTGATGTTAGCCAGCCTCGCATATGCCGCAGAGGATATTCTTTTTATGTGGGCTTTAGGAGACAGGTTTGGTGTGATATCAACTCCTAGATCTTTCTCTCTGTCCGTTTCATTAAGTACTTCATCTCCTATTCTGTATCCTGTGTCTGGCCTCCTGTTTCCACTGCCTAGTTTCATTACTTTGCATTTACTCGGGTTGAACTTTAACAGCCATTTGTTGGACCATTCACTCAGTCTGTCTAAGTCATCTTGTAGCCTCCTACTATCATCCTCTGTTTCAATCCTCCTCATAATTTTTGCATCATCCGCAAACATTGAGCGAAACGAGTCTATACCCTCTGGGAGATCATTTACATATATCAGAAATAATATAGGTCCAAGGACTGACCCCTGCGGGACTCCTCTCGTAACGTCTCGCCAATCTGAGACCTCATCCCTCACACTGACTCGTTGTCTCCTGTTGCTTAGGTACTCCTTTATCCAATGGAGTACCTTCCCTTTCACTCCAGCCTGCACCTCCAGCTTTTTCACTAGCCTCTTGTGTGGTACTGTATCAAAATCTTTCTGACAATCCAAAAATATGCAGTCTGGCCACCCTTCTCTTTCTTGCCTGGTCGTAGAATTCAAGTAACCCTGTGAGGGAAGACCTGCCATCCCTGAACCCATGGTGATGCTGTGTAATTACCTAAGTGTAGTTACAGGATGAGAGCTACGCTCGTGGTGTCCCGTCTTCCAAGCACTCTTTGTCATATAACGCTTTGAAACTACTGACGGTCTTGGCCTCCACCACCTTCTCACCTAACTTGTTCCAACCGTCTACCACTCTGTTTGCGAAAGTGAATTTTCTTATATTTCTTCGGTATCTGTGTTTAGCTAGTTTAAATCTATGACCTCTTGTTCTTAAAGTTCCAGGTCTCAAGGAATCTTCCCTATCGATTTTATCAATTCCTGTTACTATTTTGTATGTAGTGATCATATCACCTCTTTTTCTTGTCTTCTAGTTTTGGCATATTTAATGCCTTTAATCTCTCCTCGTAGCTCTTGCCCTTCAGTTCTGGGAGCCACTTAGTAGCATGTCTTTACACCTTTTACAGTTTGTTGATGTGCTTCTTAAGATATGGGCACCACACAACCGCTGCATATTCTAGCTTTGGCCTAACAAAAGTCGTGAACAATTTCTTAAGTATATCGCCATCCATGTATTTAAAAGCAATTCTGAAGTTAGAAAGCGTGGCATAGGCTCCTCGCACAATATTCTTTATGTGGTCCTCAGGTGATAGTTTTCTATCTATAAATAATAAATGTAGATAAATAAATAAATGTTTATTCAGGTAAGGTACATACATACAAGAGATTTTACAAAAATTGATAGATTTATAGATAGAGCTAGTACATACAATGCCTAAAGCCACTATTACGCAAACCGTTTCGGGCAGGAAAAACATTAATGACTAAAACTTAATACTAATTGAGTATAAAGAATAAAATGTGTTGAGAACAAATATAAATAAAGATAAAAAAGGGGGGGGGAACATGGCTGAAAAAGCAGCACAAATACAATTAGGTCGACAAACAGCGTTGTTTAAAAAAACATACATGGGTTGACAATAGAGGGGTAAGGTAGGTTACAGGGAATTTATTAGGTAGTGCTTCGTTTTTATCTTAAACTGGTTGAGAGAGGTACAGTCTTTAACATGGTTGGGAAGGTCATTCCACATTCTGGGTCCCTTGATTTGAAGAGCATTTCTAGTTTGATTAAGTCGTACTCTTGGAATATCAAAACTCCATTTGTTTCTGGTATGGTGCTCATGGGTTCTGTTACAACTTTCAATGAAGCTTTTGTGATCAGGATTGGCATTACAGTTCCACATTTTATATATGTATAATACACATGAGAGAATGTGCAGTGACTTAATATCTAACATATTCAGAGATTTGAATAGGGGTACCGAGTGATGTCTGGGGCCAGAGTTGGATATTGTCCTAATAGCAGCTTTGTGTTGAGTAATTAGAGGACGTAAAAGATTTTGGGTAGTAGAGCCCCAAGCACAAATACCATAGTTGAGATATGGATAGATGAGGGAGTAATAGAGTCACCAGGGCAGGGCGGGGTACATAATATCTGATCTTAGAAAGAATGCCAACAGTTTTTGAAACTTTTTTTGATATATTTAGAATGTGTCCCTGGAAATTCATCTTGTGGTCAATGAGAACGCCAAGGAATTTGCCATCTAATTTGTTACAAATTTGGGTATTGTTTATTCTAAGATTTATTTGATTAGAGGATTTATTGCCAAACAGAATATAGAAAGTTTTGTCAATGTTAAGGGTGAGTTTGTTGGCAGTTAGCCAAAGATGAACTTTATTTAGCTCAGTATTTACTGTAGTATTTAGAGCAAGGGGGTCAGGACTGGAGTAAATAAAGGTTGTGTCGTCAGCAAATAGAATTGGTTTGCGGAGTTGGGAGGCATTTGGAAGATCATTAATGTAGATGTGAAAGAGGAGAGGGCCAAGTATGCTGCCCTGAGGAACACCGATGTTGATGGGTAGGGTGGGAGAAATTGAATTATTCACAGAAACATACTGGAGCCTGTCAGTAAGGTAAGATTTGAGGTATTGCAGGGAGTGTCCTCTGACTCCATAATGATGTAATTTAAGAAGAAGGTTTTGGTGGTTGACAATGTCAAAAGCCTTACGCAGGTTCACAAATAACCCAACAAGGAACTCATTTTTATCATGAGCTGCATGAATCAAGTTAATCATACTAATAAGTGCATCGTTAGTGCTTTTTTGGGGTCTGAAGCCATATTGACAAGAGCTAAGTATATTATGTTTGGCTAGATAAGAGTAAAGCTGCTTGTAGATTAGTTTTTCAAATATTTTTGACAAGTTAGGCAGGATTGATATAGGTCTGTAGTTGTTAACATCTGTGAGATCACCACATTTGTGGACAGGCGTTACTCTCGCTTTTTTTTTAGAATATCTGGAAAGATTTGGAGTTCAAGTGACTTGTTGAAGAGCAAAGCAATAGCAGGGGCTAAAGATCTGGAGGCTTTTTTGTAAATTAAAGTTGGTATCTCCTCAAGGGCACTAGACTTGGTTTTAAGGGAAAGGATTATCTCATTGACGTCAGTGGAATTAGTAGCCTCTAGGCACAGAAACTGTGTATAGTATAGTTACCTGTAAGATAGTCCTTAACATCAGTACTGGAAGATGGAATATCATTTGCAAGGGATGACCCAATGGAAGAGAAGAACCTATTGAACTCAATAGCAGAATCAGAGGCTGAAAGCTGACCATCGTTATTGGACAGGAGTGTTGGTTTGTTATTTAAAATCTTCTTTGATCCCAATATTTGTGAAATTGTGCTCCAAGTTTTTTTAATGTTGCTCTTTATTTGGGTAAATTTATCTTCGTAGTATTTAGTTTCGGCTCGTCTAATTATTTTAGATAGCAATAACGAGTAATTCTTTGAGAATTCTTTGGAGACGGTTCCTAACCTATACTTCTTCTCAAGGTCATGTTTTTTTTTAATGGATTTAAGTATTCCCTTTGCCACCTAGAACCACCCCTAGATCTCTTTCTTTATCAAAATTCTTTAAAGATTTCTCACATAACATGTAGGTTGTGTGAGGTCTATGTTCTCCTATTCCACATTCCATAACATGGCATTTATTAACATTAAATTCCATTTGCCAAGTGCTGCTCCATATATTTATTTTGTCCAGGTCATCTTGAAGGGCATGACAATCATCTAAGTTTCTTATCCTTCCTATTATCTTAGCGTCATCAGCAAACATGTTCATATAATTCTGTATACCAACTGGTAGTTCATTTATGTAGACAATAAACATCACTGGTGCAAGAACTGAACCCTGTGATACTCCACTTGTGACATTTCTCCAGTCTGATACATTGCCTCTGATCACTGCCCTCATTTTTCTATCAGTCAGAAAATCCTTGTGTTACAAAGTTCTTTTGCTCCAGATGTTCCACTAGCTTTCTTCGCACAATCTTCTCCATCAGCTTGCATGGTATGCAGGTTAGGTACACTGGCTTGTAATTCAGTGCCTCCGGTCTATCCCCTTTCTTGTATATCGGAACTACGTTAGCTGCTTTCCAAATTTCTGGCAGTTCCCCTGTTGCCAGTGATTTGTTATACACTATGGAGAGTGGTAGGCACAGTTCTTCTGCTCCTTCCGTTAGTATCAGAGGGGAGATTCCATCTGGGCCTATAGCCTTTGTCACATCCAACTCTAGTAAACACTTCCTTACTTCCCCGCTGGTAATCTCAAACTCTTCCAGTGGTTCCTGATTAGCTATTCCCTCTCTTATCTCTGGAACTTCTCCTTGCTCTAAGGTGAAGACCTCCTGGAATTCCTTATTCAGTTCCTCAC